ACTCCTGAAATCACTGTTGCACTATATGCTAACTAATTTGGACACAAATTAAAAAAATAAAATTTAAAAAAAAGAGTGGATACCTTGAGTCAGAATGCCTACATTTGATTTCTAGCTGTGTGTTCTCGGGCAGGTAACTTAACTTTTCTGTGCTTCTGTCTCTTCACCAGGACAATTAAGATAACAGTGAACTAGCTCTTGAGTTTCTGTGATGATCAAATGAATTAAAACCTAAGTGATAGCTTTTATTACTTCTCAGCAATATTTCTGGTTCTCTTCTGCTTCCTAGCAGGTGGGGAGATTGTACTTCCCCACCCCTATGAAGTTAAATAGGTTCACGTGATTTACATAGACCAACAAAATGTGAGTGGAAGTAACATGCGTCACTTCTGGAGAAAGCTGAGATAGATGATTCTCCAGGGCTTCTCTTCTCTTCTCTTCCTTCTCATGGCAATCATGGAGGTACATGTTGATACGGAAATGTCTAAGACAGAAGCAGTGTGGAACAAAGAGCCAAGACATGAAGGACCATTTCCCTGCTCTCTTGTGTAACCAAGAAATAGATGCATATTGTGCTAAGCTCTTGAGACATTAGGAACTGTTGTTACCACAGCGTAGTATCACCCAACACCCAACCTCACTGGTTCAACTTTAAAGCCCTTGGAGTAGGCCTGGCCTAGAGTAACTGCTCAATGACAGCTTTAAATTTTTTTTTTTAACGTTTATTTATTTTTGAGACAGAGGGAGACAGAGCATGAACGGGGGAGGGGCAGAGAGAGAGGGAGACACAGAATCTGAAACAGGCTCCAGGCTCTGAGCTGTCAGCACAGAGCCTGACGCGGGGCTCGAACTCACAGACTATGAGATCATGACCTGAGCCGAAGTCGGACGCTTAACTGACTGAGCCACCCAGGCGCCCCAATGACAGCTTTAGACAAGCTCAGCAATATAGTTCAATGGAAAAGCAATTTTCCCTTCACTAACTGCTCACGTCGCTCCTCTGTTGAAACCATCAATCATTTCTCATGGAATTTAAAATAAAACCAAAATCACTAACTGGCACACTGCCTAAATTGCTTTGGTCGCCAGCCATATCTTGTTCACTCGCCTGCCATACTGGCCTTTTAGCTCCTTGAACATGAACAAGCACCTTCCTGACAAAGGGACTTTATATTTGACAAGATCTGAGCCTGAATCCTCCTTCCTCGTCTTTTTTTATCTTCATGTGTCAACTTAAATCTGAGCTCCTCAGGGAGGTCATCTCTGTTCACCCAGGTGGGAGCAAATGCTTTTTTACATTCTCGTTTTAGTCCTTTCTCAGCATTTTTCCTGTGTCTTTTAAACTATTCATCACAATTTGAGATAAATTTTGCTCGTTTATTCACTCATTTCCCATCTTTTTCTAGCACTAGACAGGAAGCTCCATGAGGACAAAGCCACATCTCTCTCATTCATATATTTATCTTAAAAACTAGAACAGTTCCTGGTACACAGCAGGACTGGTTATGGGAGGACGGAGTGGGGCAGAGGAGGTTGAAATGAAAGAGGGAGAGTTGTCCTGGAGTTAAATTGAGTATTTACTGAATACGAAATACTACCTTTAAATGATTATTCCCAAAAGAAATTGAGAGTTTCTAACAAAAGTGATGAAAATTCTGAAAACTAATGTTTTTCTGTATATGAGAAGATACACTTTCACAAATGGTATAAACTATAAATTAAGATATAAATATATTCTTGCCAAAATAGGCAAGTCAATAAAAATGCAATTCAAGCAGCGCCTGGGTGGCTCAATCGGTTGAGTGTCCGACTCTTGGTTTCTGCTCAGGTCATGATCTCGGTTTCATGAGTTCGAGCCCCACATCAGGCTCTGTGCTGGCAGTGTGGAGTCTGCTTGGGATTTTCTTTCTCTCCCTTTCTCTCTGTCCTTCCCTTGCTTGCTCCCACTCTCTCTCTCTCAAAAATAAATCAATAAAACTTTAAATCTAGGGGCACCTGGATGGCTCGGATGGTTAAGTATCTGACTTCGGCTCAGGTCATGTTCTCATGGTTCATGAATTCGAGCCCCACATAGGGCTCTGTGCTGACAGCTCAGAGCCTGGAGCCTGCTTCGGATTCTGTGTCTCCATTTCTCTGTGCCCCTCCCCGACTTGTGCTCGCTCTCGCTCTCTCTCTCAAAAATAAACATTAAAAGAAATTTTTTTAAATGCAATTCTAAACTAGCTTTTAACAAGGCAATGTATTATAAACACAAAAGTCCTACATCTGAATTATACCTTTTATTTTGAACATTTCACTCAACAGAAATCTGATATACTGGGTCTAGGTGATGACACCTTCCAAACTAATGAAACTTTTCTGTAGCATAAATAAACAAATTTAGACCACCAAGTAAAATCAAATCCAAGTGTAACTGAACAATTCAAGAATGGTATGAATGGAGTAGAACCTCCAGTGGCTTATACTTCACTGTTTATAACCGACTTTGAGAGTCTTCTTAGTGACATGACACTAGACTATGCATTTCCAAGAGCCAAACACACAGAATATTCTTCCCTCTACTCGCTCGTTAAAAGATTAAGAAATCTGATACAAAGGTCTGATGTAACTACGAACATACCCCAGTCATTTAAGGAGGGCTCTCTTAGGTCTGATGTAACTAACGACACGCCCTAGTCTCTTACGTGATTCTGGGTGAAGTCATCCTGCTCACCCTTGTGCAACCTCTCCTCCTCATCAGTCCTGCTTCTTACATGTGGAATGATTTGCCATAACTAGAAGGCAAGTGCTGTTGGGCATCTGCTCCCTCTCTTCTTTCATTTCCCAAAAAGGCACCAAAAATGTCTTTGCCTGGATCCCCAAAGGCACATAAGTAGACCTTTGAATCCTTTGGCTGGAAAGGTCTTGGATCAGATCCATTTGGTGAGGGAAACCAAAGAAGGTCAGAAGACCTCATTGATCTTGGAAGAATCCAACTTCTGGTTATAAATGACCCCACCTCTACCTTTTAAATTAGCTGCTACTAGGGAGATACCACTGGAAAAGGAGCATATGCTAAGTTTATAATTCTCTTTCATTTTATTTTCAACAAGCAGATAATAGAACCTAAATATCTCTCAAGTATCTAGATTTTTCCTTTGTGAGCAAAAGACATATTATGGTTTAGGCGTTAAGTCGGTTAGATTCACCCTCATTTCCTTTCTTCCTTTCTGGAGTTTTTCAGACTCTTCTTAATATCAGAAAAAAGACAACTCTTCAGTCAACTATTGGTAAACAATTATTTAGCACCAGTCTTGAATTTTCTGGTGGATTATAAATGAATGATAAAATTCTACCTTAGGCCCACGTCAACTGCTTCTTCTGTTTAGCTTCTAACTACAGTCAGAATGGATGCATGGAGAATGAACGAATGAATGAATGAATGGATGAATAAATGAAAATTTGAATGCCTGTCTAAAGGAAGCCAACTGTTGTTTTTCTGGTTAAAACTCAGCTAAGACTACTAAAAGTTTAAGGTGGCATTTAGAAATGCAATAAAAAGAACCCACAGATGTTATTTTAAAATTTTATTTGCTTATAAAAGAGAATGGAAATGGGTTTGCAAAAACTTATCTGCATGTACAAAGTAATCCATGTAGATAAAGAGGGCAAGCCTTGGAATACTGCTGGATAAACTGTTCATCAAAATTGGACCTCCTTGCATCAGAACTGGTGGCAAGTCATTATTTTACATGTCAAAACCACTGAAACACTGAATCCATTTTTAAAGTCACCAACTTCAGAAAGGTTATAGTCTAAAACATATTCTTAGATACCAGTGAAACGAGTTACCAAGTGATCTCAGAGGCGGGCAGATCAGTTAATCAAGAGGTAGTTTCTCTAATAATATCCCTTTTTCTTTTTAGCAAGGCTATAGGAGATAGAGATAAATGGCATAATCTTTGAATCTCTTTACATTTTTACTCTGTTTCCTTTGAATACAATCATAGCTGTCTTGATACATTTTAGAACTTGAGATCATCTAACACAGAAAAGAGTCCAGTGTTCAATTTTTTTTTTTTTCTTGCCAATTTTTCTTTGAGCACTCTTCTTTGGACAAACAAATAATCTGGCATGCCATCAAAACAGCAGAGAGAAGTAAATCCTGTGGTGTCATAGATGAAGGGAGTTTTTTAAATACAATTTTTTGTTAACGATAGCAATATTAACAATACCCAACGAGACTTAGGGTGATGAAACGAGCCCCCAAAAGGTAGCATACAAACCACATCACAACATTCTTCTTGAATAAGTTTCTCTAAGAGTTCTTGTAGCTGGTCTTCATATTTGTCCGGAGGCTATCAGATCCCCGAGCCCCACAGTTCCATGGCTTCCAGCTCGTCTTGGACAGGAGTGAATTCTGGTTGATCAGGATGAGGAGCTAGAGAGGAAGAGTGGGGTGGGACTTGATAGGACCCAGGAACCATAAACTGATATTCTCTCCTCGTGTGGGTCCGTAAGAGGCAGATTTGGTCACTAAACTACAGAGATATCCTGCTTGGGTAGAAAGCAGTAGCCACCTTGACCCACCACGCCGCTTGCGCCTTCCCCAGGAGGTTTCAGATGGTTAGTGAAGGAAGGGACGGATACATGGCAGAAATTGTTAGAAAACCAGATCACAGCCAGCTGCTTAAATATTATGTGTTTTATTTACAAAAGGAACCCTGAATCTCAGCAGAATTGTAACAGAACAATAAATCTTACCAAAACCCATCTCAGGTTAGAAACCCATCACCAGGGGACAGTCAGGAAGGGAGGGGGTCAGAGGAGAATGGAGAGTAGGGTGGTCAGGGAGGAAGATGCCCATCAGTCTTGTGCGGGGACAGGAAAGAGGAGAAGGCACGCTTCATTCAACAACTACTACTGAGCCTTCACATAGAAAAGTTAGGGATAAATCCTTGGTACACAATCATACACCCTTAGCCAGGCTGATACAGAGCGGTCGGTTGCTAATACAATTGACCCACGGGATTTGGTGAAGTTTCAGTATTCTCAGTGTACGTGTTTCGAGTAGGGAGGGCAAGAGATGTGACAGTGGGCAGGGAGGGAAGCAGGTGAGGCAGGAAAGCAGGGTGCCCAGTGTTAGGGGCAGGGGCTGGGTGGTGGTAGTCAACAGGACAGTTCTGTATCCGTAGCCAATTGCCCAGGCCAATGTAATCAGAGTGGAGGAGATGCACCTCAGTGCTGGTAATCATTGTAAGGGATCAGATCTTAACAAGGGACAGGGAGATTTGAGAGAACAAGGAGGGAAGAGATGAACAGAGAAAAACACATCAGCAAAACTCTGACCAGTTCCTCTGGCAAATAAGGTTAAATTTCTCCTAAAGCAGAAAACTTAAAATTCTTTGACTGATAAGTTTATTGCCCCAAAGCAGTCTGTGAACATGTCTCTTGATGCTTCCAAGAGTGACTATGTCAGAAAATGTCCCATTGCACAACTCGCCGACATGCAGGCTGCAGATGTTTTTAGGAAGCATTATCTTTCAGAGTCTCGGTCCAGTCGTTAGTAATGAGGCAAGGACAGCATGGCCACTCTTGTTTCTTCTTAAAACTATCTTTGGTCACGTAACATGCATGTGGTGCGCAGAAGGTCACCCAAAAGAATCTAGGGGGCCCTCCTCGCTAGGGAAAGCTCTAAGTTTGAGGTTTATCCAAAACAAGAGTAAAAAATTACAGGGCATCACGACCACACCACAGCAGTAACACAGAATTAGGGCACCCAAAGAAAGTTCAGACATGCCCCGCAATGACCAAACGTGAGGTCGGAGGCCAAGAAGGTGTGGACTGCCATTTGTAAACAAGAAAGATTTACACATGATGTTATTTTCATTTTCCTCTTAAGGTTTTTAAAGGGGTAGCCTCTAGAGTCATTAGCACTTCATAGAAGATATCTCTGAATAATTTAAGGTAGTGAGGAGCTCAACTTCTGCCTCCCTCCCATAATTGGTCTACTTTTCATTGTACCCCCATCATATAGTTCTAACCATAGCAAAACACTGCTCAAAGCCCACGAGAGGCCGGCACTTACCTCCTACCCCGTAGGCAGAACACGAAGAGGGGTCGCAGTATCCAGGCTGGCCAGAAGGACCTTGTGGTCCAGGCACCCCCAGGTGACCAGGTGGACCCCTGGGCCCGGGAGAGCCAGGGGGCCCAGGGCTTCCTGGCCGACTCTCCCCCGAAGGTCCTAAGAAGCACCAACAAATGAAAACAGTTGGTCTTCAACATCACAGAGTGAGTTTTGAGACTCCCAAGAAGTAAACTAACTCTTAAGAAAAGCCACCTCACACATTTTAACAATTAGGATAGTCTGCCTCTCCCTGCTCATTGAGTTTTTATTCCTAAACTGGATCATACTGTAATCATACATTCTCCTGGAGGTCAGTGCTTTCAATCAGCTCAGGAAACTGGAAAGCAAAATGGATGTATTCTTTTCTATCACCTCTTAGATATTAAAGGGAAAGGAACATACCGCTCTCGACCTGGTTTTCATCACAGAATTCCTGTTTCCCAGTGCAGTTCAGTGGGAACCCAGCATACGTGCATACATGAACACGTCCACACATGCACACACACAAACACGCTCAATCTCAGCCTCATAATCTATACTGCTTTATGGCCTCAGATCATCGAAATAAATTAGCCTGAGTGTGAAAGAAATTATCCTGCAGGAGAAGAAGGAAAAGTCTGAAACCGGGCCTAAAATACTAATCCAAAATTTCTTTAAGGCTACCTTATATCAATTGAGAACTTAGATTGAGTGAAAATGGGAGAGAGACTAAAAGTTTTCTGATATTAGGAAGTGTATTGAGCTGAGTGTTTTTGTTTGTTTTTATGTTTGCTTTCAGGCCCGGATTCCAATAGTGCTTCAAAGGCATTCTTCAACCAAGAATGACATTCTTTCAACTAAAACCTAAATGGAAATTAGGAACAAGTATCCCCTTATATATGAAAAGTGCTGCGGCTCTTAGATACATTCAATTCCATCCAGTCAACATTCACCAATCACTGTTTTTGTGGAACACATGATCCTAGATCAGCCTCTCACGCAGGCTCTAATGCTAGGAGCATTTATGCTCAGTCGATTTATTCCATTAGGAATCCCTCCTAGAAAAAGCACTTTCCAAAATCATCATTAGACTGGAAAGAAAAATCTGTAAAGCATTTAATTCAATGTGGCTAAAACTGGATTATAAACGTCCAATAGAACTGCAAACTTATAATTCTAATAATGAGGATGATAATCTAGAGACCATTGTCAAAGCACATAGTAATGTGCACAAAACTTACACAAAAGTCGTTCAGTAAGAATGCCATGGTGGCAGAGACTCTGAGTGTTTATCAAATACCCATGTGTTCCTCTATATTTGGAGCCTGCCGTGCAGTTCAACTGAGAGTGTGGCTAGTACCAGCCAGTGAAATATGCATGGCTGTGACATATGGCCTTCTCCATGTAGGAAGGTGAAGGCTGATGTGCCTCCTTATCTTTCTCCTAAAAGCCTTTTGTTCCAAAATGGGGGAAAGCCACCTTACTCACCTCAAACTTTATGTATATCTACTAAGCATTTGGGATTGATTTGTTACCTCAGGATAGCCTAGCATAGCCTAACTCATGAAGCCAACTGGATCCCAGAATATGCTATAAGCTTCTGGGAGAATCATCACTTAACAAACTGGCCTTCTAATAAAGCGAATGAGAAATACAGCCATTCCAGTTAGATGCAAGGATGTAACACGGCCATTTTCTTCACCAGTGATGTCAAGGGAAATATAAAGATTTAGGACACCCATTGTGCAGCTTCCTGTTAGGTAGAAAGATTTACCTGCTGGTCCAGGGGGGCCTCTTGGACCTTGGGTTCCAATGCCTGGGTTTCCTTTTTCTCCTTTGATACCAGTTAGACCTGTTGAGAAGGAAAAAAGAAAAGAGGGAAAAGTCCTTAAGACAAAAATCTAGGTAGTTCCATGTTTCCAGGCTTCAAAATTACCTCTCTGGTAAAGAGAATGGTGTGGGTTGGTTGGGGGTGATGGTTACCAGGGGACTTTGAGATTAAATTCTGACACTGTGAATCATGTACAGTCATAGAGGGGAGCCTGGTTCTGTGGCTGAGCATGCTGTCCGTATTTGTGGTACTGCAAGTTTATTTTCCTCCTTCCTACTGAAGTGGGTCAGCCTGCCAGGAACCGGCCCGTGTCTTTGCACGCACCAGGCCATTCGACGTATGCAGTTGGCACTCCAGAGTAACACAATAGAAATCACAAGTGGACATGTCTAACATTTTCCTTTTGGTCCACTCTGTAATGTATCTGCAAAAGGCATGAATTATAATTAGGCAGCAAAGTTCTGAAGAGCGTGAGTTTCCATTAAAAACTTGGAAGCTTCAGGAAAGCCTGTGTTTGATTTGGCTGATTCAGCCCCATAAAAGTCTAAACCTATTCATGTCTCTTTTCCACTGAGCTGACTCCTTATTCCAAATAATTTACAGTGCTATTAACAAAACTATACATTTTCACAGGGGAAAAACAAAGAAACATATACTCTGACACCTCATCATCCCAACAGCTTCTATCACAAGGTTGCTGGACAGGTGAGAACATGCCATATTGAGGACCACCAGTCCGAGAGACAGAGTTGCATCAGATGAGGGCCAGGTTACCCAGGCTCACATCACAGAAGGTCTCTGGTGTCTGTTTTTCATGTACAACAATGCTTTGAAGTAGCAGAATGCAGAATTGCATCTGTATGTAATTACACTTACAGAGAAATTATGTATGAATTGGCAAAGCCAAGAAGGAAACATAAACAAATGACAATAACCAATTTGATAGGGGGCAGGCATGCAAGTGATTTAGAATGTTTAAAATTACAAATAACTTTTCCCTTTTACTAAAGGCAACGTGTATTCACTGTAGACAAATTAAAAGACACCACAAGCAAGGACTTCAGCCCTTGAAAATAATCACTTTTAACATCTTGGTTTATAACTTCCAGAAATAAAGGCATTCATGTAGTATTTGCTCTGGGAATAGTTGGCAAAGAGAGAGAGAGAGAGAGAGAGATCAGTGAGCAACTAACAGCTTTTTTTATACTGCACACATAATGACTGTCCCTTGATTTGAAGCTTCGGTGTCTGCTGTGTTCCTTGGGACCACCTTTTGGGGTCAAGGTATACCTGGCATTTAAGTGCTCCTTCCTTGTTAGTGGTCATCAGGGCTCCTTCACCCACTGCTATGCCTCCCCAACACCCAGGCCTATCGCACGTGGCCTTAGTGGTATTTTCTGAGCTCAGGAGAGACCAGCACAGCAGGGAGAGAGCAGGACACTGACCACTGAGCCTGTTACGGCCTCTTGTTTTGGGTCTGACTCTTCTCTTAGGAGCCCATAAGGAAGATGGTAATTTCTAAAAAGTAAAAATACAGTTGCATCTGAGTTCAAAAAGCACACAATGTACTCAGACTAACCAACATGTAATACTCAGTTGCTATCAAGTTGTTTAGACAGAAAACCACACTGGGTGCATCTACTAGATATCACCCAATTAGCTCCCAGTTTAGCTCTTAGTTTAGTAACTAATTGAAAGAAGTACTTTTTAGATGGTAGGTGTTCTCTCAGATGCAAATGTGTCCTAACGTGCATCTGGGAATTGAGCAGAAACTGCCTCTTCTGTTTGAATGAGAGTCACTTTCCCCACAGGGAACCACTAATTTTTCAAGAATTAGAACACATATACAGATGACTAATGGCAGGCTGCTCATGATTAAGTGTGTGGTGACTCAGAGGCCTCCCATGACCTTACGGTACTCAAGGATCAACATTAACAACATGGCTTCTCAATGATTCTCCAAAGTGGGAAATGCAGTTGAGGCTGAACAGATCTGAGACCTCAGATCTCTAAAAAATAGATCCACATATACTTTTGATAAGCCTTATAAGCCATGTATGATTAAAAGGAAAGAAATCAAATGTCAGCCTATCCTTCTTTATGAGGACTGAATGTGAAGCCACTTGGTGTTGAGATGTAGTCACCAGAGTCATGTGCCATCATCCTTTCCTCAAAGGGCACTGGGACTCCTGAGTGCACAGTATAGCCCCTCCTTCTGGAATACCCTTTTCACACTGGCCGTCTTCATAAATACTTCTCATTCTTCAAGACCCAACTCAAGGCTTCTCTGCAACCATAATGAGCAGATGCACAATGGATTCCAGACGCCAAGGATTGTCTATCTGATTCATGGCTATATCCCTGACACTGCTAGAGCACCTTCCACATTGTATGGAACTTACATACTGACTGAGTGAACGAATTCATGAACGAATAAATTCTCTGCTTCCGTATTGTCCACGCCTCCTCTGGCACCTACCTCATTGCATTGCTTGTTCTCCTGTTCATCTAGCCTGAGCCCAGGAGCCTACTGACTGCAGGGATCGTGTCGTATTTATTGTTAGTGTCAGATCCAAGCAGAACCTCACACAGAGTAGGTGGCCCAGTAAATACTAGAAGACTAACTGAATGACAATGTCTACACCAACATGTAGCTGACTCTTACAAGCAAGCATGACCTCTGAAGGATCAACAAACAAAATGCTTTACGCTGGAGCTTTGCTTTTTACTTTCACATGCCTGGCTTCTGGGAACACAGCTTTTTGTAACAAGTTCTTTGTTTGACAATATCAACTGCCAGTGCTTCTTAAGAGATGAATATAATAGATTACAATAAGTTTAAGTTTCTGCCATTTCTAAAAACTGAGCACAGCTTACCAAAAATATGATTTAGGTAAGATTAAAATATCTTTAGTTTTCTTTTGAGTTACCAAAAATATTTAGGAGAATCAGAGACATGATTATTATTCATTCATTCATTCATTTGTTCTTTCTTTTAAAAATATTTTAAAACATTTATTTTTTTAGGTTGGTTTTAGGTTCACAGCAATATTGAGTACAAAGTACAGAGATTTCCCATGTATCTACTGCCCCTACACATGCATTAGCAACATCCCCCAGTAGAGAGGTACCTTTGTCGTATTCATTCTTTTTTAAGAGTCTCATTAGAAACCATTTCAGGGTTACCTGATTCTCTTTTACCACTAACCTAACACTGACCCTGCAATATACATGTATTTATTATACTTTTTTATATTTTATATTTATTTATATTTTTATATATTACATTTAC